TAGAGGCTGGTGATGTTATAGAAAGTGGAGGTTCCATCTGCCTGGGCCCCTGTCTTCCCATGATGAACATAGCCCCAGTGACCTGGGATGGATATGAAATGTGAGAGACTAAGAGTCATTGATTGTGTTAAGACATGGAGGTTTGGGGAGCTGTTCCTTATCGAAGCATATCCTGATTGATACAGAGGCTCTTGTGTGAGTCACGCTAAGGAATCTGGATCATATCTTGTTGGCCAGTCCAAGCTATAACAAGACTTTAAGCTGGGACTTTGTATATGTGTTTTTGCTTGTTTGTTTGTTTGTTTGTTTATTGCCAATCTGGAGAGCAGACTCCTGCAAAACAAGGCCTAAACTTTTCATGTTCCAGACGGCATGTGCTAATTCTAACACCTCTTAATAAAAAATTCGCTGATTCCTTAATGGTGATGGAACATTCCTGTATCTTGAATGCAGTGAAGGTTATATGAATTTATATGTGTGATACAATGTCATAGAATTATGTACAAAGATATACAAATGAAGAAAAGAAGTGCATCCAAAAGTGGTGAAATCCAGGTATTGCCTGAGGTCTAATAAATCACATTGTACCAGTGTCGATGTAATGGTTGTGATAATGTGCATAAATTCATGGGTAAGATGTCACCATTGGGGGATGCTGGGAGGTAGGAACATGGGAACTCTTGGGTACTACTTCGCATGAGTCTATAATTAGTCCCAAACGAAAGTTAACACCAACAACAAAAACTTCATGAGTTAAACCAAGAAAGTGAAATGTGATCAGCCTCAGATTCAAGGCCAGACTTGGCAGCTCATATTAACAGACTGACTCTCTTGTCTTCACTTAGCAATCGGCAGTTTATCCCTCAAAAATGGGATCCATCAGCCACTGCATGCTCACTTAGAGCATGTCCCGCAATGAATATTTCTATAATGTTGCTGAGTTTCTTAGGTAATCATAAGAGCAAACCCCACAATGCACATACGTACGTACACACACACACACACACACATACACACACACACACCCCCACACACCCACACACACACACACAATGCTAAAAGCTATGTTTTCCCTTCACTGGGTTTACTGTATTGCACAGTTTCACTGCACTTCTCAGGGTCAGTCGTAGCAACAGAAACCTGATACCAAGGGCAGGAGAATTACCTGAGTAATAGTGTGTGGACTTGAATCACTGTCCCCAGGAGCCTAGTAACCCACAGCCTGTGGATTAGTCTGTTGAACTACTTGATGGCTTGTGACCCCATGTTCCCCCTGGATGTGTATGTTCTGATTTTGTTCTTATTGGTAGTGGCAGCTCTGTGCTTTGTTTTAAAGTGAAGGGGGAGGACCGAAAGACAACTTACCCACTGTAAATTGTACTTATAGAAGAGTGCAAAGGCCCACTTGGCTGTGCCATCATTTTCATTGGAAAATTGCTTTAGGGTCACCATCTGGGAATGCTCTTTCTGTTTTATGGGGGAAATATGTATATGCATTTTTATAATATCTTGTAGGGTTTTTATAGGGGGCTTGGCTGAGAGGAACAATGTCTTTACCACCCCTTCCCCAACAGAATGAATATTTGACTTTCCTCCTGTGCTGCATTCAAAGTTCTATAAGATTCTGTGTATGGCAGTGAGTGTCATGCTCCAAGTGAAGTGAGGCTGGGGCTAGAGCAGGTAGGATGAGGGGGAAAGGCCACCTTAACTGCCGGCTCTGAATGCCAAATCAGGTATTTGAGCGTTAATGAGGAATAAGAATCTCCTAGGGAAATAGGTTAGCCTTTGACAGACGTTACACTCCGACTAGATTCTAACCGTCAGATAAACATCGGTTATTCAGACAGAGAGCATCTAGGGTTTTGCTCCTTATCTGGAAGCCCAGGCTGTCTATGCAGGGTGCAGCTTCATGTCTCCTGGCAGCGATTTCCTGCTCTGTAGGATGAGGGGCATGGCCTTGCCTCACTGTGAATCCTCCAGCTCCAGGACTCCCCGATCTTCAGAAATTCTAACAAAACCCCTGTGTTGCCACTTTCCTCATTTCCTGGGCCAGGGTAATGCTTCTCCTCCTCTTTCCAAAATCTGCACGTTTGTGCATCTGCCACTTTTATCTGAGGAATATGAACCTACACTGATCAACTTGCCTTTGTCACTAATATGCTGTAGGATTTGGGGAAGTCATGAAATCACTTTCTACCCCCTTTTCCTAAAACCGGACTCTGTTAGTAGACATGTCCTGGATCATTCAGGATCTAACAGAGGTCTGGTCTGCTGTGGTCTTCAGGGATGACCCTTGGATGTCATGAACAGCATGTCATCCATCATGCTGAATGTTAGTCTACCCAAGCCACCATTGACTGTGGGTGGCATCAGGGAAAGAATGTGGCACAGTCTACATTTTATCTCTTTCTATTTACATTTACTAAATACCTTCTCTCTTCCAGACAGGACGTTAGATGCTTTATACTTATCCTCAAAATTTTGTGAGTAGATCATTACTATTCACCTTTTAAAAATGAGGAAGCCGAGGCTCAGAAATGTTAGATGGCCCAAAGTCAGTAGGCTGCCTCGGCCTGATGTTTGTCGCTCAAAGCTTAGGACTTGGGTTAGAGCTTAGGACCTAGGCGGCCAAGATAAACTGCCACAGATCCACTAAGCATCCCAGCAGTTTGTGTCTATCCCTAAATGAGGCAATTCAGGTGGAGCATGTTCTCAGCAGTGCCATTTGCATCCCCCTTCACAGCATTAGAGGTATCATGTTAATCTCCATAGCCTTACTTCACAATAACAGTCTAGACAAGATTCATAAGTTAACCATGTGTTTTTGAGACTCTTCTTACCTGAATAGGCAGTGGCCTGGCACTCTTGGCTGTGTGTCCTTTGGAGGAGCTAGGTCTAAGAGCTGATAGTATTTAACCTCACACTCTGAAGTTCACCTAGTCTTAAAAATCGCACTGCCCTATAAACACAAGGCAGATCTGAAAGGTAACCCTGATCTTTCCAAAATTGTGCTAAGAGGCTGTCCAGTGAAACGTGATTGCTTGAAAACCCGACTGCTCCAGTCCTCCTAGTTTCTCTGCTGGAGGGAACTTGGGCTTTAGTGTCAGATTGACTTGAAGTCAATGCTTGCCACCCCCACTTCTTTCCTCTGTGATCTCTTATAAGATGCCACATTGTAAAAAATGGGAAAATATAGCCCATCTCTCAGTTATTGTGTGGGTGAAATGAGAGGGTGCATGTAAATGCCTAGCCCATGGCAGAGTCTGAATAGACAGTAGCCATTATTAGCATCATTATGGTTATTCAAATGTGTCCCATGTGTCTGTGGAATTTTCTGGGTTACTAAAGCAGGGGCATCTAGATCAGGCAGGATACATCCGTATAAATGAGTCTTGCCTGCTTTTGTACTTTCTATCTATGAGTTGCCTTTAATTTTTGATGCAGTCTCTGTGGAATCATTTCAGAACTGGGATGGCAGCTTTTGAGATTAAAATGTTGCCTACTGAATTCTTGCACAAGCCAGGCTTTGTCCTGGTGTTCCCCTATCATTCTGGTTCTTTAGGATGCAGATCGAGAGGAGATAAGTGAGCCTGAAGACCCTTAGGCGCCTCTTCGATGTGCTGAGTGAAGCAGCACAACCCCCAGTCTGCAGTTTTAGCAGAGTCCCAGCCTCACATCCTCCCTAAACTTGGCAGTAAAAGCCCTGTTCTTCCATTCATTTCAATGATTTATATTCTCTCTGGGCGTCTAATATTAAACAGGGGAATTCCGACATGTTCCATAACACATTTACTGTAACTTGATACGATGAACTAAACTTGCTGTTATTTATCATTTCTTTTTATTTTCTCTCATTCCAGCATAAAGCCAAGGTAGAAGCAATGACCCTGGACCTCGCTCAGCTCCGTAGCGTGCAGCATTTTGCTCAAGCGTTCAAGGCCAAGAATGTGTGAGTGTTCCAGTGTAGGGTTATAGATCATAATATCTTGCTATTGTAATGTCTTTATCAGATGATCACCACTGGGAGAACGCAAGGCTGTTGTGTTCTCTTGGCGTCCAAGCAGGAGGCTCATTTATATTGGCCCTGTTAAGGTGCACCGTATCTTCTTGACTCTCATTATGAGATATGTCAGCCATCTAATAACAGCTTCCCAGATAAAAAAGAAAAGACACTATTAAAGCACTAGTTAAAGTGCTTCATAAAAGCCAGCTGATTGTAAGACGCATCCTGATTATAGACGTTTTTGCAGTCTCAGAATCGAGGAAAAAAAACATTTTAATTGCATTCAGGAACAAGAAACCTCAGCTATCCAGTACTGCAAGGGGGCTGAGAATCAGAGCCTGAGGAGAAGGTTCCACTGTTTTGCAAACCTGCGTTGATTTTACGTGGTTCACGAATGTGACGCCTTTGCGAGGGGCTGGCAAGCCTTTATGCCATCACACGCTAACCTCTCTTTCTAACAGAGAGAGAGGGGAGGGGGTGGGGGAAAAGGGAGAGAGAGAGGGGGAGAGAGGGAGAGGGGGAGAGGGAGAGGGAGAGGGGGAGCGAGAGAGCACGAACAGCCTCAAACCCAAAACTAAGGAAAGCTATGGTGGTCAGCTCCATTTTAATTACAATATTTTGTTTCTGAGTGTTTATTTTTACAGTTATCTCATATTTTTTAGGGCAAGCAATACTGTTTTCTCATTTAACATACTGAGAAACTGTGGTTTAAATTTCATTAAAAAATAACTTTATTTAACTTTTTTTTCAGTGAATTGATTTAAACATGAGGATTAAGTTAATAATAGTACAGTTGGTGCCAAGGATAAGAGAGTTTTAAAAGTGGCACCAGAGTGACTGAGTTTGGGGAATACTGATAAATGACAAGCTGTCTTTGGGTTAGGCTCTGTTACGACCACTGGTTTTATAGTTCTGCATGCAGATGATGGATGTAAGGAGAGATGTCTTAAACCAGATATGCAGATGGTACTATGTAGATCTGAGCCTCTCAGTGCTGTCCAGTAGCCTGTTCTTCTTGTGTCCCCCTTAGTTTCTCACTCAGATCTTTTAGACAGTTAAGAAATCTGCTCTCTAAATCTCGTTCTGGAGCAAGCAAGTGGTCTGAGTCCTTGAGGTTGACACACTGAGTCAGAGTCCTTAGTGAGAGTGTACCGACTCCTCAAGTGCAGGCTGTGTGTTCCTAGGAATAGTTGGATAACATCCCCAGCCCGCTGAGCTGGGTGAGCCCTACTATGTGCGCTCTTTGCAGTGATTGGCTGTATTAGCTACTATCCCCGGCAGGAGCTCTCAGGAAGCCCTCAGTCAGGGTACAGCAGTAGCTCTTAAGACATTTGCTCACTTATCATTCATTTACCCATGTGTTCATTTGCTTAACACACATTTAATGAGTGTGTCTAAAGCCCCAAGCACTCTTCTAGGCTCTGGGAAGAGATGGGTGACCACTGGAAGCCCAGCTAACTTCAAGCAAGCCATAATCTCAGTTGTCAGCAAGCAGCGTTTTATTGCAAAGAGCTATCTCCTCAACCTAATATTTTTGTGGTTGTTTGGGAGGGAATAATAATAACAGTAACAATAACAGCAGTGGCAGCTCATTTATTGAGTGCTTATTATGCGCCACACACTTAAGAAACCTTTGCATATATTTTCCTATTTAAATCTCAAGGCAACCCTTTGCGGTAGGTGTTATTTATTATTATCTCTAGTGTACAGATGAAGGAAGTGCGACTAGAAAGGGTGGGTTCGTTATCTGATGGCACATATCTGGGAAGCAGAGGGGCTGACCATGTGGGTCGCCATTCCAGGGCCCCACTTGACCACCATGCTACACTGTCTTTCGTTTTAAATGCAGTGGAAACCAAGATCAGAGAAAGTAGGTGGCTTTCACAAAGTCACTTGGCAGGTTGGTGGCGGATGAAGGATTTTTGTCCAGTTCTGACTTTTTTGTACTCTCCCTGACACCACGCTGCCCTCGCAGGAGCTTAGACGTGTTGCTTCTTTTTCCTTCCTCCGATTCTGTCAGACCACACTGAAGTGAGCATTTTTGCTATCGATAGCTGGGACTGTCTTCCAAGTCTTAACAGGACTGTTAGTTTTTAACCATTAAGTAGTTCTGAAATCATCAAATTCAGCTGCCTTTTGTAATCACCAAGCTCAAACTCTTGGAGAAAGCCATCAGCCATTTTGCCCTAATCTTAGATTTTGGCAAATGACTCTGAATTTTTGTACTTCTAGGTTCAGAAACAAGGGTGATTTTCCTTTTAGCAAATTCTGTACCACAAACCTTTCTCTATATGTTTCTTGAAGATACAATACTTGACATGTTCTAAAGAAATATTGTGGCAAAAATATGCATAAAAAAGCGAGTGATTTCAACTTTTGAAATACTGCCAAAGTGAAATTTCTCCTGCATAGGCAGATGACAGTTGAGTACTTACGGGTCTTTAGATTCTGAGAACTGTCAGAAGTGAATTTAAGTGCTGGTGACTGGGCTGCTAAAAAAACATGTGTAGCTCTGTTCTTATCATCACCTCCCATCTTTAGACATTAAAATTTCCTTGTGTGTAAAACATAATGACAAATGAGAGAAAGGCTGCCAGTTTAGAGCCAGTCTCTTTTTGTGCTAGAGGACGGAGAAGAGGAAAAACCCTTACATTTAAATTCCATGTGGATGCTCCCCATGTAATATTCCATTTTAACACTTCTCTACGAGCACACTGGAGGTATCACCTGGTTGCCTATCCCTGTGTGTATTCCCTCTGTTCATGTGCCAGCTCAAGTGTGTTTCCCTTCACTGGGGTAGGCAGCATGTTGTGTAGCTGGAGACTGAAAAAGGTAGAAACAGATTCGAAAAGCAAACCAAGTGGACGACACAGCTCACTGCACTATGGAGCCACCCTCCATCTGCTTTCCACCAGGAAGAGACAGAGATTCAGCCTCTTTGGGATTCTTCTTCATCTTTCTCCTCCTCCTCCTCTTCCTCCTCCTCCTCCTCCTCTCCTCCTCCTCCACTTCTTCCTCTTCCTCTTCTTCCTCTTCTTCTTCCTCCCCTCTCTTTCCCCCTCCCCCTTCTTCAGGGTAGCAGGGAGGTTATTTCAGAACAAGCACTGCTAATGTGATTACACAAAATAATTGTTTCTCATCAATATTTTGTTTATTCTGTGCAAGGGAATGTGCTTAGCACTTAAACATGTATTCTGTCTTCAATTTCTTACAATAACCCCAGGCATTAGTCATTGTTATCTCTATTTCATGAATTGAAAGGCTCCATCCAACTTTTCACAGTGAGGCTAAATGACTTTCCCTAGTTGGCTAAAGGCAGTTGGTGGACCCAAATTTTGAATCCAGCTCTGTCTGAATCCAAATGACTCTTCTTTTTGTTATGCCTCACACTTCAGTCATATTTTTTCAGTGTGGATTTCTGTGTGGGTATGTATTGCTGAGTAATAAGTTACTTAGAAATTTAGGGGCTTAAAACCATTTAAAACTAAATATTTCTATTCTCTCTCAGTTTGTTTAAATTAGGATTCAAATAAGGTCAATACATTTTAATTAATAGGGCTTCCTTCAGTATTTTCCCTTTGTTTAAAAAAAAAAAAAAATACTGCAATGTATTTGTTTAAGGGCCCAGGTTGTCCTCTAGAGTTTTCTGTTGTGTGTGCTTCAGTGACTACATCCCTGGGATGTCATTTAATATGTTCTGTTGTCTTCTAAGTTTCCTGTGAAATGATGGCTAACTCTAGAAGCTTGAACAAATTTCCATTTCAATTTTTGGCAAGAATAGTCCGTAGGTGGTGGTGAAGTCTTCCATGCAGAGGACGTGTGTGCCTGGTTGCTAGAGCTAGTTTTCTGAAGTCTCAGCACACCCTGACCAACCCGTTCCTGTGCCCACTCTCTCTCTCTCTCTGTCTGCCTACCCCCATTTTCATTCATTTATTGTGTTATTCTCCACTCACTCTTCTGGGTGGTCAGCCCAGGAAGGCCCAGCCGGTTTCCAGACAGCTCTCCCAGGAGTTGGCGGTGGCGGTGGTCGGCCACTGTGTCTCAGGTCGAATTATTTCGGGCATTACTGGAAAGTTCCAAACCAAAGCCTGTGGTAAGTCTCAACCAAACTGAGTTTTGAAGGATATTTTTGTTTAAAATGCAATCCTGGAGAGCAGCCAGACTCCACACTGCCTGGCCGGCAGAGGCATCCATCAGAGTATGAAGTGCTGAGACCCATAGTGATCATTCAGACCAAATATTGAGATTTTCTGTGATGGGCTCTGAAATAATAGTATGTTGTTTGTGGTGTTTTGACATATTTTAATCCATAGTTCTAGCTGCTTGGTTTACTAAGAAGCACACGTTTTGAATAGTGCCGGAGACAGTTTAACAGCTAATAAAAGTAGGAGCTCCATAAATATTTTTTCTTTTTCAGATAGATAATGTTTTACAGTTTGAGTTCCATATGTCCTTGAAATAGTGGATACCTAGATTCCAATCCTGGAATTTTAAAAGTTGTTAATGTCACATAATATAGGAAACTCATGCTTTGATCCCGCTTATCAATCATCTCTCATATTACTGACCCAGGGCTTCGATTCATCATGGATGTTAATTGAAATTGATAGTAAGTTCATATTAACATAATACATGCATTTCTAAAGGTTTCTAGAACTCCATTGTTGATCATGGATTTCTACTTTCTCTTCTCAACTTTCTATCTCTGGCATAAAAAGAAATTAGGCTTTATTTCGCTTAAAAAATAACATAGGATAATAATATTTGAAATGAAAGATTTAAAGAATAGTTTTCTATTTCCTCTTTACTTTTTTAAACATTGAGGGAGAAAAATTTTTTAACAAAATTATTTATTTTCTCTTTTACTAAATTACTTTCAGAACTTGAATCTACTAATCTCAGATATAATATTCTTGGATTCTTTTCCTAATTTTGCTTTTTAAAAT